CAGGAGCATGGAAATTGGCATGTTATTGAAAAGGAAAGAGTGTAAATAACAAAAGGCTGAGATGGTCAGATGGTAACCTGGGGACCAAAGAAAAGTGAACAACATAGATTACTTTCCTTGGGGTATATAATTCTAAGAACTCACACTTCACTCTCCAAATCCAAATAACACTATTGTTAAGCTACTTGTTAAGCTACGATTAAGGACAATTGTAATGTAGTGTGGGAAAATTTCATTGGTGGAATAGCTTTTCAATCATACTCATTCAATTAACGGTAGACACTTGGAAACTAAAGAAAAGAGTCTCTTGCTTCTTACTATACTTCTGTTTTATAAGGACAATCAGTCTCCTTGCTTACCTATCAATTCTTTTGGGGGAAGATGATAAAGATAACATAGAATAACGTGAAACAGAAAATAAAACTAAAAGCTATGAGATTTATAACTTTCATAAGTTAGAAGAAAATGAAATAGAATAGAATAACAATACACGTGAAGCTGATATGTCAAGAATTTTTATACTACATCTTCTGTGATCGCCAACACTATCTTTCATTTGTATGTTTCTCTGTATATTATTTTATTTGGTTCTCAATTCTAATAAGGTAAACAGGGAAAATGTTATGACCATTTTATGAAAATGGAAACTCAAAGCATGTGATGCCAATAAACATCTTGAGCGAGTTTATCTCAGTCCTTTGACAAGTAAAACGCACTTGATTTGGATGAATAAAGTTCAAGTTAAAAGAAACGACAGTCGGACTAAAGATATAGCAAATATTTAAAATGTCTTAAAATCCTTGTAAAATGGGAAGAATGAGTATCAGTATACAGTAGAATTTCCTCGTAACCAGCTCATTTGGAGCAGATTTAGTCACCACTACTGCAGTTCCGCAGCAGAGGCGCAGGGTGCCGCTGTTGGCTAGTTCCGAGCGAAGTATTGGCTCCTCCCTGGGCAGCGGAATGGCCCACAGACAGGGAACTTGGGGAGAAAAGTGCACCCTCTCTCTCTCTGGCTTTCTACAGAGGTGATATCCATCAGAGAACTCACACTCCAAGACCAAGAAAATAGTCTTTCCTGCTCAGAGAACTCTTGGGATCGTTTAGAGATCTCCTCTCCTGCTAATTAGAAAGGCATAGGTGCAGAGAGCGGGATGGGAAACATTTTAGGACCGAGGGGTGCAGCAGGGTGGAGGTGAATGCCACTTCTCTTCCTGCTGCCTTTTTCTGCCAGGCCCTCTCGGAACAGTTCCACTACGTTATTCTCGAGCAGCTGGCCAGGGGCTCGCTGGTGGGGGACCTCGTCAAGGATCTGGGGCTTGGCTTATGCGATTTGCCTACTTGGAATCTTTGGGTTAAATGTGGAGAAGAATTTCTTTACCATGAACACTGAAAATGGGGACTTACTTGTGAGCAATCGTATAGACTGAGAGCAGATTTCTGGCAAGAAGTTGATGTGTGTTCTGGAATTTGAAATGGTTGCTGAAAAGCCTTTAAACTTCTGTCATATAACTGTGCTGATCCAGGATGTCAATGACAACCCACCGACTTTTAGCCAAAATATCACTGAGCTGAATATCAGCCAACTGGTGCTCAGTGGAGCCACCTTTGCCCTGGAATCTGCCTAAGATCCTGATGTAGGTGTCAATTTGCTGCAGCAGTACTACCTTAGCCCTGAACCGCTCTTCTCTTTAATTCAGAAGGAGAACCCAGATGGCAGTAGGTACCCAGAGCTGGTACTGAACCCCCCCTGGACACGGAAAAGCAGCTCCGTCACCACCTGGTCCTCAAGGCTATGGACAGGGACTAGCCCTCCAGTAGCTGTACTATCCAGATAAGGGTAATTGTGGCAGACACAAATGATAACACGCCCCCCCCCATTATTCACTCAGAACATGTACAGGGTCAGTGTTCCAGAGAACCTGCCCACCAGCTTCTCGGTATTAAGAGTGAGGGCCACTGACCCATATGAGGACACATCAATGCCAAGATCATCTAAGTCTTTGTCAACATTGGTAAAGGCAGTTAAGACAACTATTTAAGCTGGACAGTAAAGCGGGAACTCACCATTAGTGGAGGACTGGGCTTTGAAGAGAGAGATAGCTCTCTTCAAAGAAGCAATGGATGGTGGACGTCACATTGCACATTGTAACATACAGAGATTTGGGATGAAAATGACAATGCTCTCTAGATAACTCTGGCTTCTGAATCTCAGCATATACAAGATGCTGAGATGGGGACTCCTGTTGCCCTGATCAAAACACATGGCCCAGATTCTGGATTTAATAAGGAAATCCTGTGTCAACCAAAAGGAAATAATTCAAGATACAAAACACGTGGTTGGTAATCCCGGAGTACAATGTCACTATCACGATCACAGACAAAGGCAATCTGTCCCCTCCTCCAGCATGCACATCGCCCTGTACATCGCTGATGTCAACTACAATGTTGTGGTTTTCCACCAGGTTGCCTATGGCCCATGTAGCTGAGAATAACCCACCTGGAGCTTCCATTGCACAAGTCAGAGCCTTGGATCCCAACTTGGGACCTAGTAGCCTTATCTCCTACACCATCTGGCCAAGGACCTCTAGTTGCGGGCTCAATCTTCCTAGGTGTTGGTGAGCACCCAGAGAGGGGTGGTGTTTGCACAGTGCGCCTTGGCCTTCTAGCTGATGCTGCAGACCCGCCATCCTGGCTCCCGGCGTTCAGCGCCAACGTGAGCCTGCGCATGTATACCCGGCGCTGAGGGCCAACAGCTTGGCGCTCTTTGATATAGTGACGAATGCCACGGAGCCAGGCTACTTGGTCACCAAGGTGGTGGCAGTGGACACCAACCAGGGATACGATGCCTGGCTGTCCTGTTATGTGCTGCAGGCCAGCAAGCCTGGGCTCTTCAGCCTGGGGCTGCGCACGGACGAAGGTGGGCACAACGTGTGCCTTGAGCAACGGGGATTCGGCTGGACAACTCCTGCTGGTTACCGTGGGAGACCGAGGACAGCCGCCTCTTTCGGCCACCGCCACTCTAAACCTAATCTTTGTGGGTAGCTTGCAAGAGATATAGCCTGACTTTAACGACTGCCCCACGTGCCCTCTGACCCCAAGGCAGAGCTGCAGTTTGACCTAGTGGTGACCTTGGCCTTGACCTCTGTCCTCTTGTTCTTCACGGTGATTAGGCGATCACCCTGGGCTTGAGTGGCTCCTCCAACCCCGCTGCCACTGAGGGCAACTTTCAACCTCGTCTCTGTTTCAAGAGTGTACCTGGGGTTCTCCCCAGCTGCAGTGCAAGGACTTTGCCTTATTCCCACAATCTGTGTGCTGCCTCACATTCCTCAAAGTTTAAATTTCTCAATGCATGTTGGAAAATGTTACACCACAAAATCTTTTATGTGATGAAGGCTCTTGATTTGAAAGTACTAGTAATGACAATCCCAAAATGGTTTCTAATTCGGGCAATTTGCAAACAAGTGAGTTTCTTCAAACCTTTCCTCCCATAAATATAATTAGGCTTCAATTCATTGATTTAGAGATTAAAAGTGTACAGATTAAATATGTTCTGATTTCATTGTGTTTTATTGATTTTCTGGGCATACAGTGGGGGGGTAGAAAATTCTTTGTAAGGTTACCTATGTTGCAATTGTTCTTTCATAGAATGTCTCTTTGTGATGGTCTTGAAATTTTAGTTAGTCCTAAAACAATATAATAAGAAACATTTGTGTTCATCTTTTAACATAAAATAAACTTTATTTTATGTACTTTATTTTCATTTTAATAGATTTAGGGGATACAACTTGAATTTTGTTATATGAATATATTGTGTAGAGGTGAAGTCTGGGCTATGGGTGTACCCATCACCCAAATAGTGTATATTGTATCCCACAGGTAACTTTACATCCCTCACCCCCTTCAAGCCTCCCTACTTTTGAGTCTACAATGTCTGTTATACCACTCTGTGTACTCTTGTGTAGTCATAGTTTAGCTCCTACTTGTAAGTGAGAACATGTGGCATTTATTTTTCTGTTCCTGAGTTACTTCTGTTAGGGTAATGGCCTCCAGTTCCATTGAAATTGCTGCAAAAGACATTATTTCCTTCTTGCCTATTGCTGAATAGTACTTCGTGATACACACACACAAACCACATTTTCCTTATCACTCATCAGTTGATGGACACTTAGGTTGATTCCATATCTTTGCAACTGTGGATTGTGCTGCAATAAGCATATGAGTGCAAGAAACACTTTTAATACAGTATTGCCTCACACTATCATTGTAAAACATATTATTTATCCAGGATTAAAGACAAATCTACACAATTAAGTGGTTTACCTAGTTTCAATGTTGTCGATCCTAAAATTATAACATAATATATATATTAAGATATATTTTTAGTGTAGCCAATATTGTTTTACTTCCTTTGCATGTTTTAAAAATTATGCACAGATGTTGCCTACATCAAGGTAGTTCTTAATCTCTAGGCTAATAAAACAAATGATGGCACCTAAAAATGGCAGCTCTTGTAACCGGAACTGTAATTGATTGGTCAAAACGTGTTTGTAGCTGTTGGTTCCCTTATTAAAAATAGGACAAATGTAATATGGTGGGGTGTGATAATTCAAGATTTACAGAAAATCGTGATATTTCTGCTCTTCAAGGTCCTAAGAGATATTTTCACAAAAATGGGTGATAAATTTCAGGGAACAATTAAAATTAGTCAAAATAATATCTTTTATTCTTCCAAATGCTTTACCGTCTTGGGGAGAGAAATCTTATGAGTGTCATCTCTTTAGATTTAGCAGAAATAAAATCCTCTCTATGGCAATTTCACAAAATGGTGCAGTATTAATTTAGGACTCTAAGCGTCGCTGTTCACTAACCCGGGTGAGAAAATCAGTGGGAGCTCGAGTTATACCCACCAACCACAAAGCAGATCAGACATGAAAGCAGCGCAGAAATTCTGACCTGGAACGCTTCACATCTGGCCTCTGCTTGTTTAAGAACCTCGGCCTCTAATTCTGAGAAACGCAAGAGATGTGGACCTGTTCTTCCTACTCCTGATCCCGGGGAAGCTACAACAAGCCAGTAATGGCGGCTCCGCAGAGGCGCCGGCAGCGGAGCGAGCTGCTCCTGCTCTTCACGCTCCTGGGGACGCTGTGGGGGGCTGCGACCCGGCAGATCCGCTACTCTATTCTCGAGGAGCTGGAGAAAGGCTCCTTCGTAGGCAACGTCGCCAAGGACCTGGGGCTGGAACCCCAAGAGCTGGCGGAGCGCGGAGTCCGCATCGTCTCCAGAGGTAGGACGCAGCTTTTCTCTTTGAACCCGCGGAGCGGCAGCTTGGTCACGGCTGGCAGGATAGACCGGGAGGAGCTCTGCGCTGAGAACCCGCGGTGTCTGGTGAGTTTTAACATCCTTGTAGAGGATAAACTGAATCTTTATCCCGTGGAAGTCGAAATAGTGGACATTAATGACAATTCACCCCGATTCTTAAGAGAAGAGTTGGAAGTGAAAATTCTCGAGAATGCAGCTCCATCCTCTCGTTTTCCGCTAATGGAGGTCTATGACCCTGATGTGGGAATGAACTCTCTTCAGGGCTTTAAGCTCAGCGCTAATAGTCACTTCTCAGTGGACGTGCAAAGCGAAGCCAATGGACCCAAGTACCCGGAGCTGGTGCTGGATCGCTCCCTGGACCGGGAGGGAGAAGCCGCTTACCACCTGGTCCTTACTGCCATGGATGGCGGTGACCCTGTCCGCTCAGGTGTGGCGCGAATTCTGGTAACTGTCCTAGATGCGAATGACAACGCTCCAGTGTTTACTCAGCCTGTCTACCGTGTGAGTGTTCCTGAAAATCTGTCAGTAGGTACACCAGTGTTGTCAGTAAATGCCACCGACCAGGATGAAGGGGCCCACGCGGAAGTAACTTACTCCTTTGTGAAGATTCCGGAAAAGATCTCACAAATTTTCCGCTTGAATTTTTTGACTGGAGAAATTTCAACTTCTGCGAATCTAGACTACGAGGACACTAGCTTTTATGAGCTGGATATTGAAGCCCGGGATCGGCCAGGTCTTCGGGACAGAGCAAAAGTCTTAATAACTATCTTGGATGTCAATGATAATGTTCCAGAAGTGGTTGTGACATCTGGAAGCAGAACAATCGCGGAAAGTGCCCCTCCAGGAACAGTCATTGCTCTTTTCCAAGTGTATGATCGAGACTCTGGACTGAACGGCTTGGTAACGTGTTCCATCCCGAGAAGTCTTCCCTTTGAGTTGGAAAAATCAGTAGACAATTATTATCGATTAGTGACAAATTCATTTCTAGACCGGGAGGAGGTGTCGTTGTACAACATTACTGTGACAGCCACAGACAAAGGAATGCCGCCTCTGTCTACAGAAACGCTCATCTCTCTAACCGTGGCAGACACCAACGACAACCCGCCCACCTTCCCCCGCTCCTTCTACTCAGTCTATATCCCTGAGAACAACCCCAGGGGCGCCTCTATCTTTTCTGTGAAGGCTCTTGACCCAGACAGCGACGAGAACGCCCTAGTCTCCTACTCCCTGGCGGAAGATACCCTCCAGGGGGCGCCTCTATCCTCCTTTGTCTCTATCAACTCCAACACCGGAGTTCTGTATGCGCTGCGCTCCTTCGACTACGAGCAGTTTAGAGACCTGCAACTACTGGTGACAGCCAGCGACAGCGGAAACCCTCCACTCAGCAGCAACGTGTCGCTGAGCCTGTTTGTGCTGGACCAGAACGACAATGCGCCGGAAATCCTGTACCCTGCCCTTCCCACTGACGGCTCCACGGGTGTGGAGCTGGCGCCCCGCTCCGCAGAGCCCGGCTACCTGGTGACCAAGGTGGTCGCTGTGGACAGAGACTCGGGCCAGAACGCCTGGCTATCCTATCGCCTGCTCAAGGCCAGTGAGCCTGGGCTCTTCGCAGTGGGGCTGCACACGGGAGAGGTGCGCACAGCGCGGGCCCTGCTGGACAGAGATGCGCTCAAGCAGAGCCTCGTGGTGGCCGTCCAGGACCACGGCCAGCCCCCTCTTTCAGCCACCGTCACTCTCACCGTGGCTGTGGCCGACAGCATCCCTGAAGTCCTGGCCGACCTGGGCAGCCTTGAGCCCTCTGCGGGCCCTTACGACTCCGACCTCACGCTGTACCTGGTGGTGGCAGTGACCACGGTCTCCTGTGTCTTTCTTGCCTTCGTCATTGTGCTGCTGGCGCTCAGGCTGCGGCGCTGGCACAAGTCACGTCTGCTGCAGGTTGCGGGAGACGAATTGGCGAGCATGCCCGCCTCACACCTTGTGGGCGTGGAAGGGGTGCGGGCTTTCCTGCAGACGTATTCCCACGAGGTCTCCCTCACCGCGGACTCGGGGAAGAGTCACATCATCTTCCCTCAACCGAACTATGCGGACACGCTCATCAGCCAGGAGAGCTGTGAGAAAAATGAGCCTCTTTTGATACAGGAAGATTCAGGATTTTGCAAAGAGGACGTCTCCTTTGTTCAGGTGAGGTTATTGCTTTTATTGGTTATTTAACAATTATCTCAGGAAATTAAAAAATTCTCTTTGATTAGTGGTTAGTTTTCTTAGTCTTTGCATTGAATCGTATAATTCTGATGTTTTTCTTTTATATCAATAGATCTCTTTTAAATCCTAATTTTCTCAAATTTTGTGGGTAAAAATCTTAAGGCATGCCCAACATTTTCTTTACCTTGCTTTTGTTGAAAAATTATTTGTCCCTTGAATTGAGTACATCTCCTTTCTTAGGTTTCTTTCCTATTATGCGACATTTCTAAAATCATTTCTTTTTCTAATGTGAGAAAAAAATGAACTGCAGCCTGTTAAAGAAAATCAAGATCTTGGTTCTTCTCAATGTTACTTAATAATTGTAAATGTTTTCTAAAATGATGGAGATTCATGAGAGATATCTTCCACCTTTACTACTTGGGAATCAAAAATTATTTTGAAAAAAGATAAGAGTTGTTGATGCCTGTAGCAGGGAACACCTGATCTTTGGTGTTAAAAGACCTCAACATATTCCTGGAACTATCTGTCATTTATTTGGGCCAGGCAAAACCTCCATAATGTTGCAAATAAAATTAAAAATAAAAAGACTCCCCTTACCGACCTGACAAAAATTCTGGGAAAATAAAATAAAATAATTTTTAATTTTTTTCAAACTATAAAGAAGTATAGTAAACAAGTATTTGTTGACATCACCATTATAATTATTGGATTGTTAACAAATAAATGTAAGCAACTGATGGTGTGTGCCTACTACAATGTCTTTTGCATACTGTGTGCTTGATAGTACTTAAAAATGAAAATGAATCTTAAAACATGCTCAGTAGTGTCCACTCACAGGAAACATCTCTAAAAATAGAGGACTGGCTGGTAAATGGGAGAATGAAGGATCAATGGCATTCAAATAAAATTTAAATAATTTATCATTTTAACCCAGATAAAATAAGGCTTCTGTCATATAGGAACTCTGTATTCAAATATTTGAAGGAAAGGGGTTTATCATTTAGAAAAATGATTAGTCTTATCTATTATGACCAAAATGTGCAAACAAAATTATGGCTTGGTGAGCAGGAAACAGCAAAGATTTTCATTGTCAAAATGGTTCTAGCAGGAAATGGATTGCTAAGTAGGTAAGAGATTCTGTTATTGGCACTCTTCAAAAGTAAGTTGATGGGGTTGGGATGGGGGTGGCTTTTGCCAGTAATTCCAGCCGCCAGGGGCTGATACTAGAGGATTACTTGAGCCCAGGAGCAGAGGCCAGTCGGGGTAACATATGGAGACCTCCATCTCAAAAAAAAAAAGTAATTTATGGCCCAGGATTAATGCAATACAGGGGATTCTTGATGAGCTGTTGAACTACATTATAGTCAAACTTTTTCCCAATCTTGAGTTGGAGGATTCAATGATCTGATAACAGAATGGATGGGACACTTCTACATCTAAATTTGGTATGCACATGTAAGAAAGAATAATTGAAAAGATATCTTGAAAATGAATGAGCGCCTCCTTTGTGGCCTTTGTCAATTTTTATAAGGATAACATTGAGTTGCTGTTATTTAAATAAGCTGCTAGGAGTAATATATGTTTTTCTAAACTAATATTGTGATATTTACATTTAAGCAATTATTATAGAATTATTTATTTCAAGTTTCCAAATGTGTTATATGCCTAACCAAGAAATTTTATAATCATAAACATTTTCAAATCCAATCTGTTTGGACATTTGGGATATAATTTGATGGTTTTAATCAGAATTCAACAGTAAATGACAATTTTAAACAATTTGAATCTTGGATATTAGTCATGTGAGTCAGGTGGTCCCCTATACAAATGTGATGATTTGTTTCATACACTGATAGTGTGAATGTTATTTTACTACATCAACAATTTTGGGTGATTTAAACTACATCTTGAATATTCATTGTTATAGGCAAAGCTCACTAACTTTCATAGATAGTAGGCTGGTGTATTTTATTCTCTTATCTGAGTTACTTGTGACATTTAAACAAATAAGTCAGGTCACTGATGGAAAAACTATCAGAGTCTAGTCTCACAATAGTCATTCATTCATGTAGACTGACCAACTATTAAACATCCTGGCAATCATGGAATTTGCTAAGTTCTAACTAAATGAGGCTCTCTGATTCACCCACCATGTGGATAATTAATAGTAAGATAGGAAGCATCAGGAAAAAAATCTATGAAATTATTGGGCTATTTTATCATCTGTAAACACCATCCTTTTCTGATCAAACTTCTGTTGAGGTGGCCATTATCAAAGGGTATTAAAATTTCAGAGAGAATCATTAAAAAATACCTATATCTTTGTTTGATAATGAAAATCTAAACAAGAACTTCAAACAGATGATTTTCAATAGAAAAAGTTCTAAAAAGAAAATCGCAGCACTTTGGGAGGCCAAGGCGGGAGGATTGCTTGAGACCAGCCTGAGCAATAGTGAGATTGCCTCCCGCCACCTCTACCACAAAAAATAATAGAAAAAATAGCTGGGTATGGTGGTGCACACCTGTAGTCCCATCTACCCTGGGGACTGAGGAAGGCAGATGGCTTGAGCCCAGGAATTAGAGGTTGCAGTGAGCTATGATGACTCCACTGCAGTCTAGCCTGGGCAACAGAGTGAGACCCCTTCTCAAAAAAAAAAAAAAAGAAGAAAGAAAAAGAAAAAGAAAAAGAAAAAGAAAAAGAAAAGAAAAGAGAAAGGTAATTAACTCAATGCCAATGCATGGGAAGTCAAATAGACTTTCCACAGAATTTTTTTAATTAAAGTAAACAAATGAAGATCAGGATTTCCCCTAATAACTCAATCGATAATAGCATACTCTCCTTAAAATATAAAATTATTTCAATTTGATGTGGTGAGCTTATGTTTTATTTTATTAAACATATCTTGGTGGTCTAGTAAATATCTTTAATATTTAATTTTGTGTCATGGGATAACCTAGAAAACTTGAATACCAGAGATAATGAAGCCATTTACTAACATATACTTTCTAGTCACAGTAGTCTATAATTTCATTTAACCAGATCTTATTTATTTAGCACCAAAGAAGTTACCTAGAAGTAATGAGTTATTGAGACTTTTTTTTCTAGAGATTAGACGAGGTTTAGCTATGTTGCCCAGGCTGGTCTTTAACACCTGGGCTCAAGTGATCCTCCTGCCTCAGCCTCCCAAAGTGCTGGGATTACAGCTGTGAGCCACCATGCCTGTCCATAACTGAGATTTTTAAAAAACAGAAGAATAAGAAACAAATGTGATATGAAACTATGAATTTTTGAGGCATCAGGTAGAAAAGGATCAAGACATTGGGAACCATAATCTCCAAACATGAAAGTTTGTTTGAAAATGTCGACAAGTACATATTATGTTTAATGACCATACACTTTGCTTGCATCAATAAGAAGTTCAAAATTACTATTAAACAAATAGAATTTACCTCTTGTTTGTGGAATTAATCTATAATACCCATATTAATTCCTTTAAACAAAAATTTGTTTTATCTAATTGGTGAAAGCAAATATGACTTAGAATTATTTTGATAGATTGAAACAGCATTTCATTCAAAGTATTTCCTATACTCTGGAGCAATGCCACCAGAAAGCAGAAATAGACTACTTAGTTAGGAACCTCCCACAAAACTAAGCTAAGCATTTTTAATGTTACTTCTGGATTCTTTTCCTGGTTCTGCTAGCTACTTCTCTAGGACTTAAAATAATTTACAAAGCAAGACTAGGTCTTTATTTCTTGTTAGGTCTTTATTCCAGAGCACATCGTTGTCTTTTCTTCTGCAAACATGTGAATGGGACTTTCTTTTATTTCTGCTAGTTGAGGGTAGCCTTGGATCCATCAATAGAGTTTTACTCCATCAACATTAAGTGCGAAAATGAGTACCTCTAAGGATCCTCTCTGTATTTAGTCTTGCATATTGCTCAAATGCTGTCTAGAGACCCCTTTCTCCTCAACTATTCTAGAATAGGGTAAGATGAAGATTTGAATTGCATAATCAAAAGAAGCAGTCAAGCCAACATCCACCTTCATATGAATTCACAACCCAGTAGGATCTCTGCAAATTTCTGCCTTCTGTTGAAAATGGGTTGGTTGCTCTTACAGCTGATTGTTGCTGCTTGGCTTCTCATCTCTAATGACTCTTTTGAGCACAAAGCATCATCCAAGACCAACAATTATTTCTTTTTTTCTTGCAAGAATGAGAGTGAGGATATTTGGATTCCTGTGTTCTTCTACTACTTTATAATCAGGAACAAGGCATTCCCTCTCATTTTTTAAAAATTGTTAAAGTGAAGGTTTTAGATTAAACCATCTCTAAGGTTCTACACAATAACAAATTTATTAAAATACTTCTCTATAGTCTTAAGACAATTTTGACTTTTGAGTCTTGTATGGTGGTGTCTAGAACATAGTAGTGTTCAATAATATTGAATTCATTAAAAATTACATACACTGATGTAAATATTTTATATGTAAATTCTTTCATATACATTTAATAAAGTTTACCTTTCTACCTTCAGTGATTGATTTTTTTCTATATGCGATAAAGTGTGAGTCAGTGTCCAGCAGAGTAACTTCAAAGTTGCAATGCAAAGCATCTTTAAAAATTATCTAGGATTATCAAACACCCATCCATGAACACTGTTGCATTAATTCAGTGTCTTAAAATGGATTTTTAAAGTATATCAGAGATATCTGGAGTGAAGAAATTTAACTAAACAGGGAAATTTTGAAGGATGAAACAATTTTCCGTAAAATCAGTTTATTTTGTTTCTATATGGTGCAGTAACTTAGTTAGGACTCTGAGCGCCGCTGTTCACCAACCAGGGGAAAATGGTGCGCGAGATCCGACAGAACCACTGAGCTTTACAACACGGAGAAACGACAAATTGAGACAAGCCCTCTTCCGAGCTGCACCAAACTCAAGCCTCTGTCTTTCTGGATTCTGGGCCCTCCTTCGGAATACAGAGGGGTCCACGCGAATACCCCCGCATTCAGAAGCGCATCCCGAGAAGGCTCAGCGTCTAAACTAGATGAGGACAGCAATGGCGACTCGGCGGAGGGGTGGGAACTACAGAGGATTCCTCTTGCTTTCCGTCTTCCTGGGGACGCTGTGGGAAGCCTGGGCAGGACATATTCTGTACTCCGTGACGGAGGAGATAGACAAAGGGTCTTTTGTGGGCGATATCGCCAAGGACCTGGGGCTGGAGCCCCGGGAGCTGGCGGAGCGCGGAGTCCGCATCGTCTCCAGAGGTAGGACGCAGCTTTTCTCTCTGAACCCGCGAAGCGGCAGCTTGGTCACCGCGGACAGGATAGACCGGGAGGAGCTCTGCGCTCAGAGCCCACGGTGTCTTGTGAATGTTAACATCCTGATGGAAGATAAAATGAATCTTTATCCTATAGAAGTGGAAATAATGGATATTAATGACAACGCACCTAAATTCTTGGTGGAAGAAATAAACGTAAAAATAATGGAGACTACAGCCCCTGGGCTGCGGTTTCCTTTAAATGAGGCTGGGGATCCAGATGTGGGCACCAACTCCCTCCAAAGATACCAGCTCAGCCCCAATCGCCACTTCTCCCTGGTTGTGCAAAGCGGGGACGATGGAACTAAGTACCCAGAACTGGTGCTGGAGCGAGTGCTGGACCGGGAGGAAGAGAGGGTTCACCACCTGGTTCTCACTGCCTCTGACGGTGGTGACCCACCCCGATCTGGCACTGCCCGGATCCAGGTAACAGTGGTGGATGTGAATGATCATGCGCCAGTCTTCTCTCTACCCCAGTACCAAGTAACTGTCCCAGAGAATGTGCCTGTGGGCACTAAGCTGCTCACAGTAAATGCCATCGACCTGGATGAGGGAGTCAATGGGGAAGTGACATATTCTTTTCGGAAAATAACTCCAAAACTTCTACAAATATTCCATCTGAACTCCCTTACAGGAGAATTATCAACTTTAGAAGGACTAGACTATGAAGAATCTGGCTTCTATGAAATGGAAGTTCAGGCTCAGGATGGTCCTGGTAGTCTGACAAAGGCAAAAGTACTGATCACAATTTTAGATGTGAATGACAATGCTCCAGAAGTGACCGTAACGTCTTTAAGCAGCACAGTCCCTGAAGACAAACCTCCTGGGACAGTAATTGCTCTTTTCTACCTCCAAGACAGAGATTCCGGAAAGAATGGTGAAGTGACCTGCACTATTCCAGAAAATATGCCTTTTAAATTAGAAAGATCAATAGATAATTATTATAGATTGATCACAGCCAAAAACCTGGACCGGGAAAAACTCTCTGTGTACAACATCACACTGAAAGCCACGGATGGTGGAACTCCTCCCCTGTCCACTGAAACTCACATCTCTATTCATGTGGCAGACACCAATGACAATCCGCCCACCTTCCCCCACTCCTCCTACTCAGTCTACCTCCCTGAGAATAACCCCAGAGGTGCCTCTATCTTCTTGGTGACTGCACGGGACCCTGACAGTGATAAGAATGCTCAGGTCACTTATTCCTTGGCAGAAGACACCATCCAGGGAGTGCCAGTGTCCTCCTATGTCTCTATCAACTCTGATACCGGAGTCCTATATGCGCTGCGATCCTTTGACTATGAGCAGTTTCGAAGCCTACAACTGATAGTGACAGCAAGTGACAGCGGAGACCCACCCCTCAGTAGCAATGTGTCACTGAGCCTGTTTGTGATGGACCAGAACGACAATGCACCCGAGATCCTGTACCCCATCCTTCCCACTGATGGCTCTACTGGTGTAGAGCTGGCGCCCCGCTCTGCAGAGCCAGGCTACCTGGTGACCAAAGTGGTGGCTGTGGATAGAGACTCGGGCCAGAACGCCTGGCTGTCCTACCGCCTGCTCAAGGCCAGCGAACCAGGGCTCTTCTTGGTGGGGCTGCACACAGGAGAGGTGCGCACAGCGCGGGCCCTGCTGGACAGAGATGCGCTCAAGCAGAGCCTTGTGGTGGCCGTCCAGGACCATGGCCAGCCCCCTCTCTCAGCCACTGTCACTGTCACCGTAGCTGTGGCCGACAGCATCCCGGGAGTCCTAGCTGACCTGGACAGCCTTGAACCGTCTGCTGGTCCTTACGACTCCGGCCTCACTCTGTACCTGGTGGTGGCAGTGGCAGTGGTCTCCTGCATCTTCCTTGCTTTCGTCATGGTGCTGCTGGCGCTCAGGCTGGGGCGTTGGCACAAGTCACGCCTGCTGCACGCTTCCGGACATGTGTTGGCGGGCGTGCCCACCTCGAACTTCCTGGGTGTGGACGGGGTGCAGGCTTTCCTGCAAACATATTCCCACGAGGTCTCCCTCACTGCAGACTCACGGAAGAGTCACCTGATCTTCCCCCAGCCCAACTATGCCGACACGCTCATCAGCCAGCAGAGCTGTGAGAAAAATGATTCTTTGTTAACATCCATAGATTTTCATGAATGTAAGGATGAAGCCCCAAGTATTCAGGTGAGCTGAGGCCTTCCTTTATTTCCATGAGGAATTATGTTTTGTGTGATATTTCTCTATTATTTTGCAAAACAAGTGTTTTGAAGTTAGGGATTTAAAAACTTTAAAGGGACAAACCTAGTTTACCTGTTTACTTCGGTGGTGATATTTTAACGTGGAACACATAGGTTATGATATCATTTCTTTAGTGAAATCTTATGGACAAGATGGTTAATAAGTGGACTATCACCTTTTTGTAACTTCCAACTACTTTCCACTTGATTTTCTTAACTTGTGTGTTTTACAAATGAAAACAAATTGTTGAGTCTTTCTTATTGCACTAGGGAAGCAAGAGTAAAACACACCTCAACCTTCTTCTCAGTCTTCTCTTTATCATTCTGATTTATAAGATGTTCTTGAAGATTTTTATCAGTCTGAAGCTGTTTTTCTGTTTTCTGATCTTGCCTCCATATCCCTCACCTTGGCAGCCCTGAAAATCTTGGTTGCTTCTTGACCTATTTAAAGTATGATCTTCTATTAATGTTAGGGTACTAGTGGAAGGTTAAATTGATGCCTAAAGAATTAAATGTGTGTGCCAACCTTCACTAAGACAGACATGGAGTCTAATGCCAAACTAAAGGTGATTGACCAAAACCAATAAAATATGTCAAAAATTTTTATTTCAACTGTTATAACTGGCATTTGTGAAACAGGCAGTTATGTTTTAACAGAGTATAATGTGCAGTTTTAATAGTACAGCCATATGAAGTGTGTTTGTGGGCTCTCCAAGTGCGAGACTGGGGATATCAGGCATGCTTGCTTTATGAAACAACTATCTCGTCTACTCAAATCCTAGACTGGTAGTTGATTTTATTTACTGGATCTGCTGAAAAATTTAGTTAGAAATAACCCTATCTGAGATTAACTACTTCCATATTCTTTTGTATAGTGGATGATTATCATCTGGAAGGGGTAGATGACAAGGTAATCTTGATTTCAGGGACCTTTGAGTTTTAATTAAAAAGACATTCTTAGCAGGGTATGGTGCCATGAGCCCATAGTCCCAGCTACTCAGGAGGCTGAGGTGGGAAAGATCCCTTGATCCCAGGAGTTCGAGGCCAGCCTGCGCAACACAGTGAGACCTCTGTCTGTTTTGGGTTTTTTAAAGACCTTTTTCTCTAGAGTAGTGTTGTATTTGATGGCATTTTGCATATAATAAACTACACAACAGTGTGAGAATAAACGTCACACATTCCGTAGTGTTCAGATGTACAATCACTTGCATGAGAAGACAATGTTACAACACTTTGTGAGGAAAGGTCCTCTGGCAGAAATATAGTTATAAGGTATTTTGAAAAAGAAAATTCCTAAACCAAAATGTATTAGATGCTTTGAAATATTTTAAACAAAAGAGAAAAATCACACTAAACTTAGTGAGCTATT